GGGCAGGTTTTTTTTTTTTTTTTCGCGTGTTTCTTCTTCTTGGTCTGCAGGCCAGCTACCACAGTGGCCTTCAGACCTCGGCTCGGAGCTCAAACTCCCGGTCTCAAATAGCCCACAGAGAGAGGGGTGTGTACACCACTGTTCTGCTCCTTGCTCAGGGTCTGGGCCAGGGAAGAGACGGCCAGCCCGGGCAGTTCGATGAGGAAGCTGAAGCCGGCTGCTCCCAAAGCTAAACTCAGCTTTACCAGTCCGGGCCCCCGGGTGTTTTTTCCTCTCTGAGTTCCGGTGGACGGCACAGAGAGATTATAGGCAATTTTATGCAATTTTGCGATGTTCGATTTCCGAGACCCAGGCGGCAACTGGGTCTTGGCCTCAGTTTCTTGCCCTCGGGATCATCCTCACCGAGATCAAACTCCTGGTCGCCGCAATCATCACCACCATGCTCATCCTCATCGAGGGTGGGGGCAGAAGAATCCTGCTAAGGTGAGCCAAACAGCACCGAGGTGCCGCAATTTGAGGGATTTTCACGTAACTTTGCCAAGCTCAATCTTGGCGCCTTGGGGGCTCCTTGGGAGTCCGATTTTGTTTGTTTCACAGGTGGAACTGGGCCGGTCCAGCTAGACAGGTCTGTTCCGCAAACCCCCACGATGGATTTTTGTGCAGGTCGGGATGTCTGCGTCGTGGGGAGTGTATCTCAGGCGTTGCTCAACGCTCCAATTCAGCGTTTATGTGAAGGACCACACTTTTCTGTGGACCTTTTGTTAAAGGATTCGCCGACCATGCTGTGGAAACTCCAGCAGCATTTCCGCGCCTTTGTACGCATGTTGTGCTACTGGTTTTGCATGGGTCATGGATGGCCCTTGATTTGAAATTCTTGGAAAGCGCTTCGGTGCGACGGACGACAGATCGGAGCTTCTGCAGATGAAGGTTGTCGAATTGCTTTGCACCGGCTGTCTGCAGCAAGACTCCAAAGCCATGTCGCATCATCTTGCTTCTGCTATTATGCCAAGAGGAAGCATCATTGCTAGCAACTTATAGCAACTCCTTGGCTGGTTTGCCAGCACTTGACGCGGGCACCGCTTCTTCTGGGCTCCAGAAGCGTAGAAAGCTCGCGAGCAGAGAGGCCCAGAGAGGCCCACTTCGTGCCCCAGCCGCTGCCCCGGTGAGCGCCCTCACTGTGAACCGTGAACGCCTCAATGAAGAGTATCCAAACTATCCAACGTATGACGACGTATACTACATATGCTACCAGCTTATCTGCATATGTACTGCATAATATACTTGGACACTTGGACTCGCAAAACTTCTCGGGGCGACTTTGCCGACGTGCAGAGACGTGCAGACTGCCTCGCGAGGCTATGGCCAAAGTGAAGAAGGCCAGGCCATTGCATGCTGCGACGGACCCCGACGGAAGCTGCGCGGAGGACGGAAAGCGCAAGGCCGAGGAGAAGCCAGGGAAGAAGCAGAAGGCTGAGGAGCCCGAGGAGGAGGAGGAGGACGTGTCGTCGATGCAGGCTCGGCGCGTGCCACGCGGCCTGGGGCCGCTGCGGCATGAGAGTGCTGCGGATGTTAATTCCGAGGCGGTGAAGATGGCCAAGTCCAAGCTCTCTGCGCTCGAGAAGAAGGGCAAGGCCGGCAGCGAGCAGCGCGCAGGACCTCACTTTGAAGCCTCCCCTTAACCCACCTTGTGAGGCCAAGGCAAAGGCTGCGGCAGATGACGACGACGACAGCGACGAGCCAGTGCGGAGCCAAGTTGACGAAATCCCAGCGGCAATGATACGCAGACTTCAAGGCACCAAAGGCCAAAGCAAAGCCTGCCAAGAAGAAGCCGGTGCCGGAAGAGGACGATGACAGCGATGACGAGCCGGTCTGAGACCCAGCCGCGATGTCTCCTCGCCTTTGCCACGGTCACGGCCTTCCAAGCCGCTGAGCCAGGCTCCCAAGGCCAAAGCCTCGCCCAAAGTGAAGGCGAAGGCCAAGGCAAAGGCCGCGGCAGATGATGACGACGACAGCGACGATGACGAGCCGGCGCGTACCTCGGGCAGACGACTGCAGACGGTTTGGGTCGCTTTTTTTCTTGTCACTGTTCCCTCGAGGCTCCAAAGGCCAAAGCCAAAGCAAAGGCCAAAGCAAAGGCCGCCGCGGATGACGATGATGACAGCGACGACGATGAGCCGGCACGTCCCTCAAGCAGACCTCGGCGGAGATTCAGGCATGCAAGTCCGGCTTGCTTGTTGAGGCTCCGAAAGCAAAGGCCAAAGCAAAGGCCAAGGCGAAGGCCGCAGCAGATGACGATGATGACAGCGATGACGATGATGAGCCAGCAGGAGCCTCAGAAATTCACGGCATGTCGCTGTTCATTGCAGTTCGAGAACTGTTGCTGAGGCTCCCAAGGCCAAGGCCAAAGCAAAGGCCAAAGCCAAAGCAAAGGCCGCAGATGACGACGATGACGACAGCGATGATGACGAGCCCGCAGATGCCCCGGACAGATTGCAGACTGATTCCAAATGTGTGCCCAAGCCACCACTCAACTTAGGCACCGAAGGCAAAGGCCAAAGCCAAGGCCAAAGCAAAGGCTGCGGTGGATGATGATGACGATGACGACGATGACGATGATGACGAGCCAGCCGGAAGCCGAGTGCTGTGGTGCCGGGCGGAACATCCACCAGCGATACGTCAGGAGGCAAGTGCTGAGTTCCGCTGAGGCACCCAAGCCCAAGGCCAAGGCAAAAGCCAAAGCCAAAGCGGCTGCCGACGATTCCGACGATGACGATGATGACGACGAGCCTGCACCAAAGCCCAAGGCAAAGCCCAAAGCAAAGGCGAAGGCTTGGGCTGCTAAGGCCATGCCATCTCTGCGTAAACGTGGCCTCCTTGCACTCCAGGCTGCCGCGGATGATGATGACGACGACGACGAAGAGGATGATGAGGAGGAGGACGTCCCTCCTCCCAAGGTGCGATGGGCTGAGGAATGCGGTGTGCAGCTGCGAGAAGAGTGGCAGGCGAAGAAGGCCAAGACCGAAGGTGGAGGCGCCGGCTTTTTCTGATCTGCTGCCGTGGTGCCCTTTTGTGCCCAGCTGAGGCGATGGCAAGGACGCGGAGACTGGCCGGAAAGTCCGGGTGAACCTGAAAGAATCCAGTGCCGAGGAGTCGTTCGAAGTCTTCGTTGGCGGCTTGCCCTTCTCGACTAGCGCTCCGCCTGAGAAAAGCCATGACCTGCGCTCGCCGCCGTCGCGCGTTCTCTGTCTCTGAGGCGAAGAGCAGGTGAAGAAAGACTTCGAAGAGTGCGGGGAGATCGTGAAGCCCGTCACCCAAAAAGAGGGTCTAAGTGGATCTTTGCCGCACTGTTCTCCTTCCGAAATTCGTCCGAGGTTTAGCATGCCGAAGAACGACGAGGGCCGGCCGAAAGGCAGCTGAACCACACGAGCCGCGACGCGTTGCGACCGTCGTGCCATAAGCCGTCGAAGGCATCGCTTTCATCACTTTCAAGACCAAAGAAGGCTGCAGTTGCGAGCGTTAAGGGTTCAGACCATTCTCCGTACCTCGAATTTCTTTGCTGCCGCTGCGCCTCAGTGACGATTATCTGGATTCTTGAGGGGTGGACGCGGCGCTGAAGTACGATGGCGACGACTATGGCGGCCGTACGCTGAAGGTGCTCTACTGTAGCTCTCGCCGCTCGTAGTGAGGGCTCTTTGGGCACGCGCAAATCTCGCGCCGCGAGGTGAACCTCTCCTCGGACAAGCCAGCCAAGGGTAAAGGTCGGGCCGCACAGTGTGCACTTTGAAGTAGTTTTCGAGCTTTATCTGTGCCCAAGGGAAGGAGAAGGGAAAGGACAAAGGCAAGAGCAAAGGAAAAGCAGCACACCCGGGAGTGCTCTGCACAGGAATGCGCTCTCACCAAGTCTCATAACTGAGGACAAGGGCAAGGGGAAGGGAAGTCAGAACGATGAGCTCACGGTTTGCATCAGGGGCTCCATCCTCGGAAAACGGCGGGGTCTTTCGTGCATTTTCGCGCCAGCGAATCCCAGGCCTGTCTTACAGCCTGGACGCGGAGACCGTCGAGAAGGAGCACATCGCTTTGGCATTCAAGCATGGAGTTTCAAGCACCCAGACAAGTCTGCAACAGCAGTAAGAGGTCTGACAAGGAGGACTTTGGACATGGTGACCATCATCATGAGCCATCCTAGGAAAACAAGTGATGCTTCAAAGAAGTAGAGTAAGTAGAGGCCGTTACTTCCCGATTGGTGGTCGTGGTGGCGCTTGCCGCAGTGGCCAAGGCAGCAGTAGGAGGAAGGAGCAGGAGGAGTAGGGTGACTTTGTTCCGATGAGAGTCTCAAGTTGGTAGTCAGATTTAGGCGAGGCCAGATTGTCAAGCATTGGCCGGCTTTTCTGCACCGCTCATGCGTGATCATCATCATCATCAGCATCATGGGTGATGACGTGCTGCTACTACATAAAATTACAGAAGAGGCTGTGGGGCCTGCATGTAATGGTGTTGTATGTTCCTTCCCGGTCTGTTTGAGTGCGAGTGCTCTTCTGAACGTTGGCTCGGCGTTGCTGGATGCAGGCTTCAGCTGCTACATGTGTGGTTCTGTGTCTTCCATGCTTATGTGTCAGTTGGTATTCCTTGTTCTTTTGCTGAGTGTCCGTGCGTCCTTGTATTTCCAACTCCAACATTATCTCTGCAACTCTGAAACCCCAGCCCGTCGTGCTTTTTGTAAGCTCGGTTTTGTTGAGAAACAAACACGCCGTCCATAAGTCCGCGCTTAATGCTTCAGCTTGCACGCACCACCACATCCACCATCGCAAGGGCTTGCAGCCCCGGTGCCATTGACACCAACCAACAACCTCAAAGTTTAGCGTACTGCAACTCTTGCACACTGATGTGTTGGACTTTCTCCACGTGTCGGCAAATTTGGTTTAGACCAAACTCATTTCTGAGAAAGCTGTGAAAGCACTTGTATCGGTGAAGTAGGAAACATGCTCTAATGTTTTGTGGCCCGTTCTTTATAAACACCTGGCCCTTTGTATAAGCGAATGAGTTGTCCATAAACGCATTTCCATGGTTACTTATGTGGAACAGTGCATGTGTGTCCGGGTGGCTGTCTTCCTGTGTACACACACTTACTGTTGCTACAAAGCTCAGAGGTCCAGTCTTTGCGACCATGATAAACCATAGAGGACCGGAAGGAGGTGAAGGGACTGTGATCAAACCAAGAAGATTTCTGATGCGGATATTTGTGTACATGGAGGCCATGCATGCGTGGGTCGGGACACAAGGACTTATGGAGCTCTACTACAGCGTTCCCCAACCGAGGCTTCAGTGGCAGCATCCCCCCGTAGAACCAGATGTCCGGACTCATAGGGATCCAAAAGCTTGGTATTTTTTGGATTGTAGACATTGTAGACTCTGGGGAACCCAAGTTATAGCAAAGAGTCGATGATTCTGGTGACTGGGTTGGCCTGATAGGATGCAAGATGACAAGTCTTGAAGGGGTAGGATATACGGATACCCTAAACCCTAAACCCTAAAATATACGGCGTTGGGCTTTTGGTATGGTGATTTCAGGCCAGAGCGCGCGCAGCGCGCGACACCAAAGATGAAGAATGAGACTGACGAGGCCAAGCAAAAACAAAGATCCAGCGAGCATGCCGGATCTGTTGTGCGTGTTTTTTGGGTTGTGGTTTCAATGGGTACCGTTTTCATTCGGAACACCAAAGCCAAAAATGTCCGGAACCGAACCCACCAAAACATGTTTGCTCTGGATCTTGGGTTTGTTGCGGCCCTGTCTGCAAGTCTGACTGTCGTGCACGCTCCAGCGTGCCACCGAGCAGAAGCTGCAATCTGGGCTGATTCGTCTCATGCTGTGCATGTTGTAACACCTGACACCTGGATTGGCTGCTGAGCAGTTGCGGATGGTGTCTCTGTCGCTGCGGTTAAGCCCTGCTCTCTGGTGGCATTGCATTGACACCCATGGCCTCCTGTAGTTTGGGTGGGTTCTGTTCCGGTTCTGTTCCGGTGTCTGCAACTTGTCCACGCAAAAACAAAGACATTCACGCAAATCACGATGACTGCCCGGCTACCGTTGCTACGTTTGAGATGGGAAGTTGCCCTGCAGGTCCAGCACATGCGAGAGTCGGGAGAAAGGTGATCCCAAGAAGGTACAATCCCAGCGACCATTGACTATTGACGGTTTAACATCGCGTTGATGATCCCCCTCCGAAAACGAGGACTGTCGCGAGGATCGTGGTCCCGACCATCTGCATCCCTGTGACTGTTGTTCCAGACAGCGCTGGGAGGGGGGCGAGGGGAGGTTTTGGGGGCAGGGTAGCAACCCAGGGCCCGCGACCAAACATAAAATATATATAAATATACATACATACATATCCCTGCATGTGTACGTTCTGCATGTATGCATGCACTTTGTACATCTCAACTGCATCCATAGTTGTGTAGAGAAGCTCGTCTGCATTTTTGCGCGATTTCTGCAATGAGCTGCACTCTGCGCATCTGCACACTGGCAGGACTTCGCGGAGTGTGGAGAACTGGTCTCCTGCCGCTGTCTGAAGAATGAGGCCGGTTTCAGAGGATTTTGGGTCGCTTGGCCTGGGAGCCGGCGGAGCAGGACGGGCAACTCAAGGGCATCGCCTTCGTCGAGTTCAAGGATGAAGAGGCCCGGTGAGCTGTGCTTTCCGGAAGGGGGGAGTCGCTTCCGCCTTCTGGGGAAGCAGGCTTTGAAGAAGGCCTTGGAGTTCAATGAGACCGAATACAGTGGACGAACCATCTACGTCAGCAAAGCAGGCGACCGCGAAGGTCGGCGCTCACCGTTCCAATGCTGGATGAGTACGGGTCCTTTGCCCTGCTGGATGGAAGGCAAAGGGAAGGGCAAAGATGGCAAAGGTAAGGACGGCAAAGGCGGGCTTTAGGTTCTTTGAAAGGCCCGGCTGAGTTCCATGCAGCGCAAGGCAAGTCCAAGGACGGCAAAGGCAAGGGGAAAGATAAAGGAAAGGGCAAAGGCTCGCAAATTCCTTATGTCGGAGATGTGCGCAGCCTCTTCGTCGCAATCCTTGCTGATAGGTAAGAAGGGCAAGGCGACCTCGGCCAACAAAGCAGCCAAGGCTGGACGTTTGGAGCTCTGGTTTTGAGTTTTTGGCTGTCTGTGTGAAGGATGGAACGATGGCCGGGATCCTCAGAGGTGAAGAGGAAAGGGAGCTTTCTGAGAGACCAGCCGAGCTCAGGTCGAGTCCACAGGCCACCCTTCTTGGGTCCTTTGATTTCGGGGGGGCCCCTTTGTTTGTTTCCACCTCCGTGAAAAAGCTCAGCTCAGCGCAGGCACGAAGCAGACCTTCGATGACTCGGACGAGGAGGAGGAGGAGAGGCCAGCGAAGAAGGCCAAGGCTGGGAAGCCTACGCCCTACGCCCGCCACAGCAGCAGCAAGCGCCATCTCCGCAACCGTCCCCGCGCCTTCGACTTCGACCCGTCGATGTACAGGTGGCCAAAAAGCCCGTCGTTGAGGACGACGACGACGATGATGATGAGTGAGCATGTACTCATGACAGGCCACCCCGTCGACTGTAGACGTAGACGACTCGTAGACAGTTTGGAGAGAAGTTTGCCGTCGGGCCTTGTCTTGGTTTGACAGACCAGAGTCAGGCCTCTGCAGCCCTGGGCAGCGGCATTGTCGCGGACGTCTCAGCACGAAAGGAGTCAGAAACGAGAGCAAGAGAGAAGAGCAGAGAAACAGTCACTGTCGAACTTTCTGCGAGGCACAAGACCCGGAATGCTCAGAGCTCTGAATAGTCTCGGCCTCTTAAGTCTGCTCCTTAAAGAGGAGCTGCCCACAACTCGGACTCCTAGCTCATTTTGCTCTCTGCGATCTGAAGATTATGTTGCGCGCCGACAACACGCTTTAGAGCTGCAGCGAGCCACATAAGAGCTGAAGGCGGATTATTATTGCTGGAAGCACGATATTGTGCAAGGAGATCGGGTTCTGCTATTATTAGAGCAGCTATAAATTTCCGGACAATAAACTTCAGCTAACATTACCAGAGGTTTATAAGAAGGCAAGAACGATCTATGAGATTTTAGTGTTCTGTTCCTCTGCGGCATCAAGGAGCACAGGCCTCTGCGGACAACGTGTAGGCGTAGGTCTGTTGTTTCAGCTGTTTTGGTCGCTGAGAAGGGTCCTGTTCCTCTATCATTCGAAATGCGCGACCCAAACAGGGCGCTAATACGATCTATACGTGACCCAGCTGTTGAAGGAAGAGGCCCATGCCAGCATTTTGACCGTAATTATGGAAGCCACATCTAGCAGCTGAACGCAAAAGAACTTGTGCATCCGCTACCCTCCCAGACCCACTTTAACCTGATTTACAACCACCTTGGCCCTCCATCCCCAGCACTACGCGGAACCTACGCCCCGCTTCAGATTGCATGGACTTAGCCTGACTGCAAACATAGCATGCTCCCAGCACTTATATATACGAGATCGACCCCTGAAGTGAATATGGCCCGCGACAGCTACAACCAGGCAAGCCAGATCAGGATCCGGACGGTAGAACGGCAGCCAGAAGCCATAGAATAAACAGAAGCCGCCGCTCATACAAAGCCGTAGATGCTTCAAGATCATTGAAGCTCGCATGCAGCTCACCGTGCTCCGGCGTCTTTTGCGAGCTTGACTGCAACCAAAAATGCGCCGCAGCTAGAGGGGGGGATCAAGCTCTCTCGCAGCTCAACGTGTTGCGGTGTGTTTCGCGAGCTTGGTTGCATTAGGCAAAGGGGTCGCCGTAGGTAGGACGCAGGTCTTGTGCGTCGTATCGTCTCGCGACAAGCACATTCCCGCAGCTGTTTAGGGGTAGATGGCTCGGAATGACACTGGAATGCCGTGCTTCGTGAAGCTTCTCCCCACTTCAGATCGACAGAACGGAATCAGATGGGACATCGCGCACTGCATACAAAACCAGAAACGGACAGGTCTCTTGAACACCTTGAGCCTAGCGGCCTAGCACCGCGGCCTCGGGGCGGACACCTGTGAGGCCCTGCGGCTTCGGATTGGCAATTTTCCTCTCCCTCTCTCCCTCTCTCCCTCTCCCTCTCTCCCTCTCCCTCTCCCTCTCCCTCTCACACAACCCCCCGAGTGCCGGCCAAGAAGCGGGCCCGTGAGTTCCAAGCTCCGGAGAGACGTCAGCGATGAGTGGCTACGGAGGATTTAAACACCTGCAAGCCCAGTTGAAATCGACGTGAAGGGTTGTGGTAGGCGGCTGCAGGCGAGAATGATGTAGATTTACACTAGCGTCTGACTATAATTAACCATTTCTGAGTTGGACCTTGCCATGTGTTTTGCATCACGACGGTGAATGAAGCGACCTGCTGAACGGTTTCCACCTGTTTCCACGTTTCCACGAAGCAGCAGATGATGGAGACGCCAATGGAGGAGTTGAACCAAGAAGAGGTCTGCAAAGTTGGACGCCGAAGAATAGCAGCACTGACGAGCTGCAGGATCTGGCTCGCAAGACGCCTCCAGGGATAACAGCGCCTCCACGGCTCACCGGCAGTCTTTTTCTAGATGGTTCTTGGTTCTCTCGGAGCCCATCGGTTCTTGGGAAATCTGAAGCCCCCCAGGCTTGCCAAAAAAGGTGCACCGACCCAAAGAAGGAACCCCCCCCCCCCCTCCGGTCTCGAGGCGTTCGAATGGCGCTTCCAGAGTTGCTCCTGTCGGAGAGCCGGGCCCTGAGCTCTCCGAGAGCGGCCTTTACTCTGCTCTCTGGGATGCCCGCCGTAGGACAAGCGTCGCTGCTGGATGACCTGGCCTCTGCGGTGGGTGGCAGCCAGACGCTGAGTAAAGGAGCTGAGGGTCTTTTTAGGGAGGGTGTGGAGGGACGTGGGGCTTCCTGCAGCTGCTCCAGGTGGCCCTTCACAGGCACGCGGGGTTGTACGGGGGTTCGCGAAGCATCGCGAAGCATCGCGATTCGTGGGGTGCTTTGTGCCACTAGACTCGCAGAAGGTGTCATCCAAAGATGCAGAAGCTTCGGAAGACACCGCCTTCGAGGCGAGTCTTGCCGATGCGACAGAACCTCCCCCCTCCCACGGTGGGAACTGCTTGGGGACGTCTTGCCTTGGCGAGGCATTTCATGGTCACTGGCACTCCGTCCGTCTGCGGCAGAGGACCCAGGAGGCACCTTGCATCCCAGAACATGTTCGACTGTGCCTGTTGCCTTGTGCTTCGTTGTGTTCGCGGCAAAGGGCTCCCGACGTCGCGGACGCTGGCGATGGACGCTTTGATGAAACAAGTCCAAAGCCCAAGCTACTCGTAAAGCACTCGGCCGCTTGCTGGACAGGATCTATCGCGTTCAGCAGATCTGCGACTCTGCATGCGGAGAGCCGGGGATCCGAGCACCAGACCCCAAACTCTGAGCCTTTTTCGACACCTCAACACAAGGCTCGATGCTGTCCTGGACCAGTTAACAGAGCTGGACCGGCAGAGATGTGATGCAGCGCGCTCAGCTGCGCTGAGCCTTAGCCCATGGCTTGGGCTTTGCATGTCTTCGCAGACTTGCGTCCCTTGTGCCACTCTTCTCAGCCGGGCCCCTCAAGAGTCTTCTTCTTTCAAGAGCAGATAGACCAGCAACGTGCTCGTATGCAGATTCACCAGAGGTGGCGTGGTGTGCCCTTGCCATACGAGGTTCTCCGAAAGACCACCGCGCTGCATGAGCAGTGTGAACAGATGGTCCAGGACGGTGGTGGTTCGTGTTCTCTGGTGCTTCTCGTGATGCTGCGATGCTTCTTTATGATTCCGCATGGTTTCCTGACTTGCTTTGGTGGCCTTGGCACATGGACATGAAGCAGCCTGCGCACATGACGTCACCTTATCTTCGTGAGTCAATCTACCCTCATCGCAGTCTCCTCATCATCATCTTCATCATCATCACCATCATCATCATCATCATCATGACTTTTATGGTCTTGGTCGTCTCCACCATGATCCACCTTTAGATTGAGATATGTGCATGTTCGGTACACATTAAGCCTTAAGCCTTAGCGGCTGGGTAGGTAACCTTTCAACTTTAAGCTTTATTCGGAGATACACCTCCCGGCCACCATGAAGACAGAGCTAGCCCTGTCAGCTCCCGGACCCCGACTTTCGCAGCGACGAACCCCCGCCCCATTCAACCCTGATAGAAGGGGCCACCCCCCTTTTCTTCGGCCTCCGAAGTATAGACTCCGGCAGAGACTTTTCCAGTCAGAGGACCAAGACAGATTGGCCCGAGAGGCCGAGGTGTCGCACCGGCTCCGGTTGTTGAGAGGTCTCACTTTAAAGGGTTTCGGGACAGGTTTTTGGGCCTGGTTTCATCGGTTGTTGCTTTTGTTTTGTTTTTCACGGGCTCTTAGAATTCGTTTAATCACTTGTAGGGGGGGTCGGGTGAAGGTGGAAGGTGGGGGTGGGGGGCTCCCACCGAAAAGAGTGTATTGCCATCATCTTGCACGAAGGGAAGTGCGGGAACACCCATGTCGTCTGCTTCTAAACTTCTGGTGGCGCCCTGGAGGAGAGCGGCTTATCCAGCTTGTAGTTCATATTTCCCGGTTGCATTCTGTTTGTCTGTCTGACTTGGGGGTTTTTCGTGGGAGCATTTGATGAATAAATTAGCCGGATCTTCAAAACTTGCTGGGAGTTTCAGTGAGGCATGTTCCGCTTCGTAGCAAACCGCACCGCCGTACAGAGTCATGTCGCCACGTCCTGTGCTCACATCTCGCGAGGCCTTGGCTGAGGCGCTGGACTACTTTGACCGCGTGGCGGATGTTGCGCCGCACACTCAGGGAGCGGATAGAGACGGCAGACACCGTGCTTTGCGGAATCTACATGGCGGCTTTTTAATGCTACCGAAAGTGTCTACAGTTGTGTTCGAGGGTGCCAATATGAAACTAGTTGTTTAGAGTTTTGGTGAACATTTACAAAGTCGGTTCCCCCTGGATCCAACATCCAAGATTGCAGAAGAAAGTTTATGGGATCCATCTTGGATCCGGCCGGCCCAACGGAAAAACCATTAGGTTAAAGCTTAGATCCTTTTCAGTATGGGGCCTCTGGACTCTGGGCCGGATCCAAGAAACTTTGGTTTGCAATCTTGGATCTTGGAATCGGCCGGGCCAAGATTCAAAATCCCGGCGTACGCTGAGATGTCTTTTTCTAGGTCCCCCCCATGGATCCAAGATCCAGGGTTGCAGAAGAAGTATCTTGATCTGTCTTGGATCCGGGCGGCCCAATACGAAGAGTATTTGATTGGTTGTGCCGTCAATGTGCTTCACATCTTGGCTTGTCTTCCGGACATGGTCCAAGACCGCTTCTGAGAACACGAACAACTCTAATGAGGTCAACGAACATATCGCACCACAATTATGATTGAAATTTGCAAATGTCATGTGTCTTATCTTCTCGTTGTGCTGTTCGGTTGCTTCTTGCAGCACCACCCACGTTCAATTACATACGGCGTGATCCTTTTATCCTCTGCTTCAGCCGTCCTGCAATTACAGATTTACATGCTGTGATTTCCTCGCTTTGTTTCCTTGCCCTGTTCCAGAAAGTTGAGCCGTTGTCGTGAAAGCATCCATTTAGCTCCTTCCTCAGGTTTCGTACTTCCTAGCATCATGTTTTGGAGTCTAACTCAGCTCCCTTGTTGCACGGGTTCCGGCACATAATGGCCTTGGCCATTTCAGGTTTTTCGGGGTTGGCCTTGTGCTGCCCCTTTGGGATTTATAAGACTACGGAGCACTGACTTCGACGTAGACTCCGCCGAAGTCGGCTTGACCTGCCCATAAGCCTGTGCCAAGACTACAGTTTGTTTGTTTGTTTCCGCAGCTTCTCGGCATCTCCGGTTCCTTCCGACTCGTGTTCAACCTGTTTTTCTCGAGGGCATCCTAATTAGTCTTGTCGTGGTCTCTTGGAAGAATCAGAAGGAAGCACATATACCCTACGTAAGAGATAAGGATGCTAATGGGTCGTTTATGCAAGCGCAAGAGGTGCGTGCTGGACCACCATTCAGCCAACGGCTTCCTCTCCAATGCGGGAGCCGCTCGGTGGAAAGTGCAAAAGTCACAATGAGCAAGAGTTTCTTCTGGTATGTCTGGTATGTGCCATTGGCCTCTGATTCCCCCCAACAGCGTTCCTGCCAAGACGGCCGTGGCTTCGGCGCCCTCCACTCAGAAGCGAGCAGTAGAAAGGAGATCCGAAGTCCTAAGCCCTCTGTCAACCCAAAACCGATCCCGCAAAGCACAGGTCGGAAAGCCCCGACACCGAATTCGGATCCGCCGGGCACTTACGGGAGGTTGTTGACCCGCGAAGCGCGTCGCAAGGTTGCTTCTTCTGCTTGTCTTAACTAGACTCTGAGGACCCTGGCGCGTGGTGTAGTCAGAGAGTAGAGTCATCGTGGTAGGACTTTAAAGCACGCCGGCTTTTCCCGGCTCTTGCCCCAAACCGAGCGCTTGTCGGTATGAACACGCTTCAACCTCGATTGTTGCAGCACTTTCTGTTACGAGAGTTAAAGAGTTGTGTCCGTGGCATCATGGTATTATCATTATCAACAGTTTTCAACTATCAACTATCAGAACTGTGATGACGTTTATTGTTGGTAGCCGCAAGAACTTCGCATAAATTTAAGAAGTAGTAGCAGCTTAGTAGCAAGTAGTAGAGGCCAGTCAGTAATGAGTAGTAGGCACGGTAGCGCATAATGACCGAGCAATTAGAAGCAGCAAGTAGGAAGTAAGCTGCGGTAGGGTAGCATGTAGTTTTCGTCCTCATGGACAGAGGATTGTTTGCTACATGCATGAGAAGCAGGTGCTCGACAAGATCGACGGTTCCATTTCTTTCCTAGAGGCTGGGAGGGATGCTGATGATGCTTCTGCGGCCCTGATCGTCTACTACGTTGCATGGTCGGCGTGGTCAGGCCCACCCAGACTTCTGTGGAAAGCTCAGGGAGTGGTGGGAGATCGGCCCGGGAGTTGGGTTCTCGGTTCCCAGGCCAGGCGCAGGCCTACACGTCCCAGCAGTGCCCTCGGAGCTCCAGTGCTTCTCCGATCCGACGTGCGGCGGCATCGGTGGCAGTGCAGGTTCGAGCATCTTCGAAACAGGGCCTGCCTCGCCATGCGCCTGCAGCCGAGCTGACTTCGCATACGACTCCATGTGCTCCCTCACTGAGACTCTCTCTCTCTCTCTCTTCCTCACAAGGCTCCAGCCTGCAGAAAAGCTTGGAAAAGTCGGCCGCGCACGTCCGCTCCTCGGGGCGCGTCTTTGGGGCCCCCGGCCCGGGCCCGGGCCTCGCAGCGTCCTCGCATTCTCAGGTGGAGCAGCAGCTGAAGGACGCTCAAGCCGTGCCCAACCAGGCACGAAGGAATTTCCGAATGCCCCGCCACAGAACCCGCACTTAGAGTGGATGTTGCTGTCTTTCGACGGCTTCCTGTGCAATTCAACTGCACTGACGCATGCTTTCCACTTGAGCCATTTGGTTCGGAAGCCTATTCCTAGCAAGCTGGCACTTCAGCGTATTCTCCGCGTACCTTGCGTGCCACTTACATTGGGATTTGACGCGCGTGGCTCTCTTCTGTATTCAACTGCCGCCGCAGCCTTCGTCAGCGCGCAGCTGAGGAAGATGGGTCGCATGTATGGCCATGGCAAGGCTCGTGGAGAGTCGCAAAGCTCCCGGTGACGTGCAGCAACGACTCTGTAGAAGCCCCTACTACCGCCTGCAATATTCCGACAAAAGCCTGTGAACCTGACTGCCAATTCTGAACCAAACCCCAAGAGAAACCAACACCGCTCCCTGCGTTACTTGAATCCTCAATCGCCGGCAGCTGTGTCGAATTCTGCAGGGCATCGCCAGCTCGGCGATCCCTTACAAGAGGCCAGTCGGAAGTGCAAGCGGGAAAGTTGTAGACATCTGGGAAGTGGGCTTACTGCATGGTTTAAACTCTCGCAGAGACCGCGCACGGTGTCTCAGGTAACCAGGTAAAGGCTTCCCCTTTTCGGTGTCGTAGTGTAGACGAGAATAGGGGAACCTGAGACAACCTCACTGCACCCTGGGGGGGAGTAGAACGACATCAGTTCATGAGTGTTTAACGCTTTCCTTACTGGTCCGACCATCACGCCTTGGCAGCAATCTCTCAGCATTTCTTGCACCATAGCGTTGGAGCACGTGCTGCTCGCGGCAGGACGCCCCCCACGTGGCTGAAGATGAAGCCGGAGGCCTCCGGGGCCCTTCGCGTCCTGAAAGTGCAATGCGCACGTTCACTCGCAGGACGTGTGCGATCACATTTGCAAGCTTGCCAAGAAGGGCCTCACACCATCTCAGATTGGTGCCGGAATCCTAGCGGTCCTAGCTTCGTGACTAGGTTCCCCCATGATGCCATAGGAAGGCTGCGCTCGTGGGCTTCCGAGGTGACTCTTCGAGATAGCTTCGGAGTGCCTCAGGCTCCCAGAAAATGAAGCTCTCTCTGCCTTAAGCTCCCGCTCTTCGGGGGGGGGCTGCGAACTGCTCTCGGTTTTTTGTCAGACAGGTGAAGAACGTGACCGGAAACCACATCCTCCGCATCCTGAAGACCAACGGCCTGGCTCCCACCCTGCCGGAGGCCGGACCAACAAGCCCAACCACAATCAGAAGCCGAAGTAGCGCGCGCCTATGCGCCCCCCCCCCCCCCCGCAAAGCGCAGGATCTCTATTACCTCATCAAGAAGGCCAGCTGCTGCGAGCTCAAGGTAGATGACTCGATCCTTTCCGAGGCCGTGTCCATCCGAAAGCACCTTGACAAGAACCGCAAGGACAAGGACGCCAAGTTCCGCCTCATTTTGGTCGAGAGCAGAATCCACCGACTTGCCAGGTCCCATCTGCTCGGTTTCTCTCTTTATCTTTTGTCATTTGGGCTCTCTCATGCTGCTTATAAACCTGCACTACATGCATGTGCACTAGACATACGTGCCGGCAAGCGCTGGTGCAGGTACTACAAGCGTCCGCGCCTGAGTCACCTCACAAGGTCCGGTGGCGAGAAGTGCCAAAGGTGGCTCTCGGTCTGAAACGCTTCGTGTATGCTTCATCTCTTCGGCTTCGGATGAAGGGGCCCTGCTACGGCATGGAATCGACATGCGGAAGCTTAAGTTGAGCCGACGTTCAGAAGGAAGGGCGGTATGCCACTGCACGGCATAGCAGAGCAGAGCGGAGTGTAGCGGAGTATAGTGTCCAGCGTGGTAGGAATAAGTCAGTATCAGTATATGAATAGTCAAGTATAGTCTTGTATAGCATATAGCATGTGTGCATGCGACTGAGGTGTGAAGTCCCTCCCTGCCACCTGGAAGCCTGGGACCGAGACAAGAATTGGCATATGTACGTGTGTGTTTAGGTTTAGGGCCAATAGGGAAATCTCTGAACTGTGCACCTACATGATTACCTGCCGGCATGGCCCCAACAAGTGCCGCAAGCGTGGGTGCAGCTGCACACATCACATTCCACATTTTGTAAATGTGCATGTGCTATTTATCCAAGTCTTGTTGTATGCATGCAAATGCACAATCATACCGTATCTTCGAATCTGTTGTTGCTCGTGTTTATCTGGTGGGTGTGTCCATGCGCCTGCGCGTCCTCTCAAAGTATCAGTCTGCGGCTGTCTTCCTTTCCCGTGACTTTAGAGAGCGTCTTAATCGGCCCTTCGAGATACGTCTCCGCGACGGCCTCGGCGCTGGTGGCGTGAGGAAGCCCTGGAGCAGTGGTGCCGCAACGAGGAAGGAAAAAGCTCTGCCAGTTCTCGTCTCGTCACGTCTTCTTATGATATCTTCTTCAGACTTCCGCTACTCCGGTCGTGATGGTCTGAGCAGGGTCTGCACCAAGCTGTCTTCTTCCCGGGAACAAGCCCTGCACCCCTTGCAGGTTCTGTACAGCAAGTTCCGGGCATCAGCCCCCAACTACAGGCCACATCGCATCGCATGTCTTTTTCACGATGCAGCCGCCCCCCAACTTTGTTGGAAGTTCCAAAGTTGATGGCAAGGCCCTTGCTATCTTTGCTGAACAAGCGCGTGGAGGTGAATGAAACCTATGCCGCAAGGGGCCTACAGGGATCAAGGGGGCGACCCCTCAACTCCCCCTGTCTCCCCTTCGCAGCGCTGTTGGGCTTTCCAGTCCAGGCGACGCTCGAGGAGATCGAGGGCTTCTTCGTCCATCTCCGGCTCCGGCTCCTCACGCCAGCCGCGAGCTTGGAAGAAGCCGAGAAGCTGCCAGAAAGCGACTATAGAAACATGCATCCTTGCTATAGCTCATGCTGATCTCGCGGCCTCGGGGCCCCTACATACAAGCATTCTCAAACACAGCCGAGGTTTCCACCCAGCTGCAGCGGCTCTCCCAGATTTGCGCAGTAGGAAAGGAGGATCCTTTAAAGGATAGAGAAGAAGTAAATGCACAACTGGGGCCCGGGCTGCTTGGGAAGCCTCCCATGCCCAGGTCCATTGTGCATGGCGAATTGGAGCTGAGCCAGCACCGGCCTGAGGTCGTGTGAAATTGTTCACCCGATCTTACGGAATTCTGGGTGATCTACGGGCAGCCCATTGATGCTCGCATGATACGGCAAAGGATCCAGCTCACGATTACACAAACCGATGCTATGCCGAATAGGGATTCGTCTAGGCGTTGAGCCGATTTATGTAAGCTGAAATTGTAAATACAGCACATGTGCGTCCTTTTGCATGGCCCAGGCTCGCTCCCGCCACGCGGCAGGCCCCCATTTTTTCGTTGTTACACAGTTGCTCAGGGGCTCAGGGGGTTCGAAGTGAGGAATCGGGGCTGGCGGATGATACAAGTTTCCAAAGCACCTATACACATGACACCATTAGGACGTAGAATCCGCACTGTCGTGCAGTTTCAACCCAGAGACGCAAGCCCTGCTCTGCCGGCGCGTCTGTCCTGCTGTCAGGCCAGCACGTACATCCTCGAGATCGCACAGCTCGAAAAGCAGTGCTTTGAGGCAGCTGCTGCAAGAGCATGCTTTGAAGAATGCGCATTTTTCAGCGTCAGCTCCGGGCTGGCAGGCGTATTTCGAGATCAGACATCAGCAGGAGGAGCTCCAGTTTTTGACGATTTGATGAGTTGCTGAGGTTCAACTGAGCTTTGTCTGGAGGCATTGAGGACGCTGCTTAGCAAGCTTGCGGATGCCTTCTACCAGCCTCTGGGCGGCAGAGCGAGAACGGCAACAGCCTGTGGATGCTCTCTGCCGGTCTGCCGCGCCGAGGACGATGCGTCCTTTGGACCGGATCCCAGGACTTGAAAGTTTCAAGATGCAAGGCAGGCAAGGCAATGTATGTGCAGTTCCGTTCTCAGCGTTTCTGGTTCCTCAGGTCTTGGCTTGTGATTCCATCGACTCCTTGCGAGAAATTGCTGACTGTCTGCAACTCGCACTGCATTTTTGCAGTCTAAAATTTATGCCATAACAAAAGGGCTCAAATAGAGCAAGTCGCAAGTCTCAGATCAGAGCCGCTTCGTCTTGCCGTCTTCTCGTCTCCCTCTCCCTCCCTCTCGAGGCAGATGGATGTGTTGGAGCCACATCGTCTGCCGGCGCCCTGGGGCAGACCTGAACCCCTCGTGATGCAAAGTCGGGATATGCAATTTCGGTTCTGCACCGATGCTAGGCTTTCGGACGTGTCTGTGCTCGGTGTCGTGTACCGGCTGCACAAGGACCGGAAGTAAGCAGGCAAAGCTTGGCCTGCAAGCATCAAGACTGCTCTAGCAGGATGTGCAGGAGAAGCTGATTTATCGGGCAGCCTCCCCAGCAACTCCACAGATCTTGGCTTTCCACAAAACAAGACCATACTGTACAAGGTGGAGATGTACATCCGGGAAGAGATCAAGGGGTGCCCTGAAGCAATTTGTCTTCACAACTCCCCCTGTCCCTCCCCTGTCCTATTAAGTCTCGGGTGGCCGCAGTGTCAGACTGCAGAGGCAGTCATGTCACGCTCAGGATTGTTGGCATCTTTTCTTTGGCCTACATGGATACTTGCATAGTGTTGCATGGTGTGCGATGCATGATGCGTCTCCGCCTCCGTTATGGTCGTAGTCGGAGTCCTGCCGTTGATCCTGGCAAAGCCCTCACTAGGTACGTGCTTGGCAGCTCAGACTTGGACTATCCGCCCCGACCCCGTCTGGATGGGACGTGTGGCTTCTAGGGTTCTGCTGAGGTAAGCGGTTTAGGAGTTCATGGTTACAGCACCCAGAAGTGCGCACTTCACCATCAGGTTCTGGCGACATGCAAAGTCCTACTAAGGGTGCGAGGGTTGTGTACGGTATGTATACAGTAGAGATGCATGGCTTATAGAGGGTCATACTGATCTCAAGTCTTTTTGAGGGAAGCTTGAATTCACATGGTGGTGCCGTGGTGCCAAGGTCTATCCTCTACGGAAGCGGCACGGACGCGCCCCATCAGGCTCGGTGGGGTTCCAAGCCGCCTCCACCCTGCGGTACAGTGCACCCCTTGTACACCTACAAAAGCGTGATGTGAAGAAGGTAAATGTGTAGAAGTACGGGGACAGGCAAGGACTCCATGATTCAGTGACATGTGGTGCAGGAGGCTGCGATGGGTCAATTCCAAAGAGGTGGTGAGCCAAAAGGGACTGAAACATATACGATCTGGCGCGTTTCGGAGTCTTGCATGCTGAGGCTGGTATCCCACGCTCCCGCGGACACTCTCAATTCTGGCCATGGCCTCTGGAGACTTGATTTATTTGTCTGGCTCTCGCCCTCTCTCTGTAGAATTTTACCCTGCCTCCTACTACGAGTCACCAGGGTTGACTTAACAGAGTATTGCTGCCTGGTAAGCTGTGATACCTGAAACTTCACTCTCTCTGTTTATCTATCTACATCTCTTTCTCACTGTCTCGGTTCGTAAGGTTCGGCAAAGGCAAGCCATCCCTGCGCCAAGGCCAAGATCTACCGAGTCCTCGAGATGTCCACGTTCCAGGGGCGGGGCCTCTCATCCGCTTCGGTTAAATCTCAGTCACAGCAGAGCTCTCTTTGAATGGGGAAGTGTGTGAGGTTGGCTCAAGAGGCCGTGGACCTGTGCATGCGCAGCCTCAAGGAGGCCGCTCCGAAGCCATCCATGCTGGAAGCGGCCCATGTTGCTGGTTTTTGTTGGCCAAGTTTGCTGAGGCTTCAGAGTATTTGTCCAGAAGATCGCTGCCCAGCTGCGATGCGAGTCTGCAGGCGCGGTGCGCCGCAAGCCTTGTCCGGTGCGGCCTCCTAAAGATCACTCTGGAAGCTGCTTTCTCAGGCCTTCCAGCCCTTGGTTCAGATGATGGACTCTCAGCTCTTCCTGGTAAAGCACCTCCTGCCTTGGGCACAGAAGGCAGAAACGGACAGAAAAGAAGACGAGTCGTGTCCTTTCCACAGGCTCCTTCGAGAGCAGGTGGCAGCCTTCGAGTGCGAGCTGGTGCGGGGGCCCGGGGTTGCCTAGGGGCCGCTGTGTTTCATCCAGTGCTAAGCACCTGGGGTTTCTGCAGGTGGTCAGCGAGAAGTACTTCAATTTCGCGAATGTCTGGGAGGCAGCAGAGACCTTTCTTTCCGTCGCAGAACAAGAAGTGCAGCCAAGCACAGGCTTTGAACCTGAAGCTCCCGGACGGGATCCTGGGCATTCTGAAGCCTACGGTCTACCATGCAGAGGCACCATTGAACTACTTGCAGGAAGATTGCGGAAACGTAGTGGAACACAACGTATACATCATGCCAATGTGGCGTAATGTGATGGGATGTAATGTACATGATCGAGTATGTATGAGTTCATGTGCATGTATGTGTGTATGTGTGCATACATGTATGTGTACGTGCGTATGGATGGGTGGAGGCATGGATGGATGGATGGATGGATGGATGGATGGATGAATGTCGATATATATGTCTGTCTGTATATGTGTATATCTGTATGTTTGTATGTCTGTATGTGTTCGAGGCAACGTACCGTAAGGCTGTCTGTCCGTGCGTCTGTCTGACTGCACGGATGGATGGACGCATGCTTTCAGGTCGATAGCAAGAAGGACATCGAGTCCGAGCTGAAGGCAACCTTCGTCTAAGTTGGAGAGGCTCACTCCGTAATGCGGGCAGTCCGCAGGCGGCGTGCGAAGCTCTGATCACGAATGTTACCGCCAGAGCCCCGGGCAGGGAAGGGCCTTGTCACTTGTCCGGTCGTGACCCGAAGAAAGCCTTCAAGTGATTCGCGCAAATTGACTCTGTTTCTTGTCACAGGCTCACATCACGCAGCCCTTGGCAGTCCGTTTCTTAAGCTGACCTCCCATTCCTCTCCGGTCCGCACCTCTGAGTCAGGCCGTGAACACGAAGATTGGCCATTTCTTGGCCAGCCCGGGCGTGTCTCAGCTGGCAAGAGAGGCACTTGTGGTGGCACTGGTTGAAGCCAAGCCCCTCAGGTGGACCGGTCATCACTCAAGGACGAAGCATGACCAGACAAGTTCACCTCGCCCGTCAGAGTGGCTTGCATGATGAGGACCAAGGCTTCATGCAGCCAGACGAGCTTCGAGACGTCATCGGTGCCATGCCTACTCCGGCATTGCGAAATGAATTCGATCGGGCGCAGAAATGCCGAAAGGCGCCTTCATGGCCAACGTGAAAGCCAAAGTGCCTTTCACAGCGGCGCCGAGTTCCCAGACGGATAGCACAGGAAGTTCGATGGAGAGTCCCACACAGGGCACGCGTTCTCGTGGGGGGTGCCTGGCCAGGCACATCAGGCTCTACCTTTCAGCCGCACCCGGAGGCCTGGATGTTGGAAAATGTGAGAGGCGAGCAGGGAGAGTTTCTTCCCCGAAGGCCAGGAAGATCCACAACAGGAAGCCTCCAGGCAACCTGCAGAATGTCGCAGCTTGTCTTCCCAGGGGGGCACCTCAGACGCTCCATTTCAGCCTTCCCTTCTTTTTTTCAGGAGCACCAGCACCTCGCCGGGCCCCCAGCGCCGGAGTTGAAGCCACCGGACCGGAGGGCCCGGGGCCCTAAACCCCTAAACCCTAAACCCCTAAACCCTAAACCCCTAAACCCCTAAACCCTAAACCCCGGGCAGGGCCCCAAAGCCAACAAAACAGGCCGATCCTCTGGAAGCCGGTGGAGATGCGCCTGGTGGACACCTGGGGCCGCCTCGAGGGGCTCCTCGAGGAGAGAGATGCAAAGAGAAAGAGATAAATACATATACATGTATGTATGTATGTATGTATGTATGTATGTATGTATGTATGTATACATGTATATATGTTTTGTAAAGTTATTTGTTCATATTATATATATATATGTTTGTTTATTTATTTAAACATCATTATATATGTATATACACTTGCAAGTCACATGTATGTGTGTATATATATATATACACACACATGTGGTACCCCCACCCACAGACCTACCTCCAAAGCCTGTTTACATCAAATTGCCCTGAACTATGCTGTGCACGACTATGTATAGTCTGCACATACATATACTTGTACATCTTAGTCCGCTTTAAATATATGTCACTCTGTGCGTGAGCATGTCTTGTGCTTGTTTAGCAAATACCTGCATCGAAACCGGCATTGCAAAACTTAACGGCACTGCACCAAGGACCCAGATGCCCAACCTGAATCTTGGTTCCTCTGGCCCCTGTGCCATTTTTCAATGCAGATCTTAATGTAAGCTAATCTTCGGAACCAAGATCCAAGATTCAAGAGTTTTGGGCATCATTGAAGTTCAACTTTAAATGCCGGTTTCAATGCAGACAGCCTTGCAACGAAGTACGGGGATGGGGGCAGAAAGGGACGGGGAGGCTGTTCGTGCCAGCAGAATCTCTAGACGTAGGGGTCGCCAACCCGAAATCCAATTTAAGGGGAGGGGATGGGGGGAGCCACTCCTGCCGGCCAGGGATGGGATTCAGAGGTGGGGAAGCAGGGAGTCCCTGTGGGAACCTTTGACCGCTTGGGACGGGGACGAGCCGAATTACTATGTGCATGAACTTGTCCATCACTGAAGTGCTACCTGCTGGAAACTCGTGTTCTGACATGAAGAAACTAACCCTCCAAAATACATGCTGGAGAATACACCAACACACAAGAGGGGTCCAACATCGCCGAACATCTACCAAAGTCGGTGTGTAATGTGCGCTGTGAACTATATCAGTCATCCGAAGACCGCCCCACATCCTTCAAACACAACGGAGAGAACGTGAGGGGGAGATATGTGTATGCATGAAAGACTATCTATACATACATAAATATATATATATATAGAGAGAGAGAGAGAGCTGTGCATAAAGAATATGCTGCGAACGGGGGAACGGAGCCGGTGCGAGCCTGATGAGGCCGGGGGGTTATAGTTTCCTAGGTAGGGGGTTCTCTGCTCGGAGCCCGGTGTCCTCATCAGGTGTAGCAGTTTTACTGAGACCAAACAGACAGTGCGCGCTCGCGCGCAGAGTGCGGTGCTGTGCCGTGCTCTTGACTGTGTGGAAGAAGAGCATATATATATATATATAGAGAGAGAGAGAGACATGTATACACACATTATACATGTAATGAATAAGCATATATACATGCATTCACACATCACACATGTAATAAATAAGCATATATGTATATATGCACACATATATATATATATATATTATATTATATATATATATATATACATAGGGCGAGAGAGAGAGAGAGAGAGCGTAATTATGGACGAACCGCCCTTCGCTCCTGCTCCTCGGACTTCGTCTGCTACGTCTGCACACTGAACGTAAGACCTTGCTTGCTTAGGGGTCCTTACAGGGTGATCTGTAGCCCCTCTTCAGAAGGAGCAGGGCACCAGCCTGGAGATGTTCGGGAGCCCAAGCGCAGCTTTTGCAAGGATTTCCATTGCTCTGTTGTTCCCCATAGGCTTGTTGACATTCACTCTGATTGCAATTCGAGTCATGACGAGCTCCTGCTACTGATTCTTGTTAGTTCCTGTTTCCTGTCATCGCTGAACGCTCAAGCCATCAATCACAACCGCCAAAACCCTCATGCCAGAACCCTAAACTTCCTAACCGTCCAAATACCCCCCAAACCCCACAGTCGCCAGAGGTTGGGCTTTCCCCGGCCCGAGCCGCTTCGGGAGCCTGGGCCTCGGGGCTGGGGCGGCCACCTTCTCTCTCTCTCTCTCCCTCCTTTTCCCCCTCTCTCGCGCTACGCCGCTACACCGAGACCCAGTGTACGTAGGAGTTGCCCTGCACTTCAAAGGCTTATCGCTTCGCTCTTCAACGCGGCCTCGTGCTCGGCGCTGTCTCTGCGCAGGTCGGAGGCTTTGCTTTGCCCCGAGGTCATGGAGGAGCCATGGGAGAACGTTGTGCAGATGGTGTCCCAGGCCAGTTCACAGCTCCCCACAGACTAAAAGTCCCAAGCCCCCCCTAAGCCTCAAAACAAAAGGGACTATGCAGACTCTCAGAAGCCCTCAACCTCTCAGGTTCCGCGACGGAACTTCAGTGCCGACACGACCTTGCCAGCGGCCCTGCCCTCAGTCCTCGGAAAAGGCCTAGTAATTGCATGGAGGGCTACAGAGTACAGAGTGGCAGTAGCAGTGTTCCCTAGTGTTTCTTTGCAGGTATAGTATGTTACGGCCCCTGTACCACAATCAAAGAGGTCGCAAGTTGTTTCCAAACTTAACGATTCATTGAAAACACAGAGACGGATGAAGGTTCGTCGTGCATGTGGCAGCCTGGACTCGACTTCCCTGATCAGAACTGGTCCAGAACTGGTCCTAGGGTTTTAAGACCCTGCAGGCCCTGCAGCGCGGCTATCCCCAAACCCGCAATCCAGTGCCTTTCGGGGCATCAGGCCGCCTCCCAGGGGAGCCTCGGGCAGCCAGAGGCAGACAAGGCTTGAAAAGAGTCTCAGAATGCCATGAGAATATATAGTTCTTTGGGGTTTGCCGTACCATAGGACTTCGTCTTCTATCCACATACAAGACTAGATCGACCTTTCATGTGAGGCGCAAGCGGCGGAAGGTGTGGAGGCGGAAGCTCAGGAAGCTCCCAGTGCGCCTGAGCCGCTCGCGGCAGAAGGTCTCGCAGAGACCTCTCCGTCTGAGCTCCGGGTGTGAGGGGTCCCCGGCCTCTGATGGCCCAGTTAACGAAGCCTAGGCGAATTGCTTGGAAAAGCGGAGGCCGATGCGAGCGAAGCGCGCGTCGTCAAGAAGTGCATGAGTGAGTTGATCTGACTTCTATGGTCCTGCCGCCATTTCCCATTCCTCATCAGACTCAGCGTGGGTCTAGATCCGGTTCAATGACGTGAAGGCCGGGTGCCTGTGAAGATGGCGTGCTCTGCTTTGATGACAGGGCGCTGTCTTTCCGAGGCTTCGACTTCGCTCTCTCGCGGGGCTCGCGGCCGAGCAGAAAGCCGCAGAAAAGGGGTGTTTCTTGAAGCTTCTGTCATTTCATTGAGGCCGAAAGACTCTTGAAAGGATGCCTTTGCACTCAGAGTCTCAGAGCGACGATTCCGGCCCCGAGGGGGGGGCATCTGGCAGGCTGTCTCGCAAGCTGCTCTCATGCCTCTGGCTTGTGGCCGGCGGCTGAGGGGGAAGGAGGGAGCTTCCTGGCATGGCATGGCCTGGTGTCTGCATGTCGTCAGCCGAGGCCTTCAGCACCGCCTCCAAGTTCCGCTCCATTAACGTCGCTCAACAGGCGCGTTCCGGCCCCACACCACACGCGGAGAGGGGGGCGGGGAGGCCGTTGGGCCAGTCCGAATCTGACACCCATGCCACGACTGCGGGGGCCCCCCGGCCCCTTGTCAGAGGCTCCAAGTTCCAAAGTGGACTTGGGCGAAGAAGGACGTGCCGTGGCGCAGCTGGCTCGCTTCCCTTCTATTGCTTTTCACCGTAAGTCAGCGATCTGCCTGGCCAGGTGATGGCCATGTTGCTCTGCTCCGCTGGCTTCCTGAGCGTCACCTTCTTCCTCCTGTTGGCACCGGGCCCAGACTCCCCCTCTTCGAAGGGCAGAAGGGCAGAAGGGCAGGAGAGGAGAGGAGAGGAGAGACGGAACGCCTACGCCTTCCTTCCTAGGGCCGCAAATGCTGCCTTCGGGAGGCCCCCCAAGATTGATCTTGATCCGATCGGTAGCCGTCCGTGCAGAGCTCAACAAGAGACGGAAGGAAGCAAAAGCGGGCCGAAGACCTCGTAGCTATGACCTGCGGGCAGCAGATCCCCGTTCCCAAACCTGGCAATCCACCTGACTGCAAACTCTGGATTTCTGCAGTAGCTCTTGAAAACCTGACATCACCGGGCGAGAGCCCTCCCGGTCGAATTCTAAAGGTTACATCATAGCCAGTTACAGAAGATCTTCTAGCCAGAGACCACGTCCAGCTGAGGTTTGCTGCCTCTTGGACACAGCTCTCAGCTGGAAACACCGAGCTACGTACTACGCCTGCCGGCAGAAGGCGAAGCTCCATGCACACATTAGCGCATCTTTTCCCACGAGTCACCATTTTACAACCACCTATACTCTATATGTTGACTATCATTACATCGAGATCGGGAGCTCAAAGCCCTGACCAGGTCCAGCAGGTTCAGGAGGCGCTGATGAAGGGCAAGGAGGACCTCTCCTTGTCGGGGGCATAGGCTTGCAGGCAGCAAGACAGATCATGGCTGAGACTCGAGTTGAATTCGGCCCAGGTGCCCATGTTGCGTGGAAACCACCCAGTCCTGAAGCTCAGAGACTCACTTCTTTCTCACGAGCATTAATTAAGGCAGACATTTGCGACCTTTCGCTGCAAGGTATACTCAGCCGCAGAAGAAGGTGAAGTTCATCTGCGGCCACGGGTATCACCTGCACTGCGTCAACCGCTGGCCCAAGACCAAACACCTTGACTTCTGACCTCGGCATTCGGGATTTCGGGATGGGGCACACGCGGGGGGGGTGAGGTTCCAGGAGCACCCGAACTCCGTCGGCTCCTGCCCGGTCTGTGAGGCGAAGCCGGCCTTATCATATCATATCCGAGCTTTAAAGAAGAGTCCTGCCTCTTCTCGCGCAGGGGGAGAGTGCCGGAGGTGATACGCCCAGGGACGAGGCGGGAGCGACGGCCGGACGCGCTGGCTTCGAGGGGCGCGACGAGCGAAGAGCCCGCGCTGCAGGCCCAGACCTTCATCCTGCACAGCCTGCACAGGCGCATGGTGTGCGCGCTCTGTTGCCGGCAGATGTTCGAATCGGCCTTGAGTCGAGTCTGCTGCTCTAGGCGCTTTCCGAGCATCATCACCAAGGCAAAAGGGGGCAAAGTGCGGCTTCGGCGCCGCTTTTCCGCTTTTTTGTTCGCGAGATTTGCTTTAATTCCAGGAGTGCATGGACAGCTGGGAGGGCTGCAATGCTGAGCTCTGGCTCACCGTCCTAAAATGCCCCAGGCGGCATATGGCGCCTTCGAGCAGCCAAGAGTCTCGATCATTGCCATGCCAGGTACAGCTCTCTCTTCAGCAAGGTCTTCGCGCGAGAGTGAGGGCAGCTCCAAGCACATCTAGTTTGCATCAGATCATCAAGGGCAGACAGGAAAATGCTGGGAGATAAGAAGTGCTCAGGCGAACATCGCTGTAGTTCTCAATGCGCCAAGATCTGCAGATCATCTGTTTCCCCACTCAAACATAGCCATGTCCCCTAAGCCTTCCACAGAATCTTGCCTTCATCTGGCTTCGCGGACGTCTCCTCTAGCGTAGCCGGTGCCGACAACCCCGGTGGCGGTGGCGGAGGCTGTCCACTAATCCCAAATTCCCGAACCGGGGTGTACCACCCCAATCAAAAGCATCAATCGGAAGCATGACCCTCACTTGCTCTTTCTGGGTTTCCACCACTCAGGAAGCTCAGTTGCTGCGACAACTACAAAACCGAAGGAGCCTTCACGGCAAGCTTCTGCACTTGCTCCTGCAACGTTGACATACGAGCATCCTGCTTCTGTTGTGCTTCATCCAAAGACTCGGTCAGACTGGAACTCTTGCTGCATGGCCGCGGGTCAATCAGGATCCTGATTATCTCGGATTTCCTGCAACATGTTCTCTAAATTATCTACTGTAGTTCTCAATGCGCCAAGATCTGCAGACTTGAACCTCTGCCATCGTCTGTCCTGAAGGACCTCCCAGGCGATGAGCTAAGCCTCTTCAGCTCGCCATGCAAAGACTGATGTACTGATCTATGTCCTAGGTACCGCTCGATAAGTCGTCTCGAAGAATGCAGATCATCTTCTTGTCGATTGTGTTTGTTCATCACTTGGCTCTGGACTTGCAATGCTGCACGTAGGGCTTCCACCTGCTATTGAAGCATTCCAAGCCCAGTGTGCAAACTTATGGTGGCATATGGTGGCATCACCCAGTGCTTGTATTCTGACTTGAACACGATCGGAGGATCTACGACATTACGACAGCGGTGCACATCGTCTAAAACTGCCGTGTCCAGTAGTATTCCTTGGCCGAATTGTTGTAGAACATGTGCGTCTAGATGGTCATACGGAATTCCTGCGTGTTGACCTTGCGCAGCGGCCATGCATTCAATCTACATGCACACAAACGGGGACAGTCCGTGCGACAACGTGCAGGGCGCTACGGGGGATCAAGCTGCTCGGGCATAGGCGGAGCAGTTGCTAGCCGCAGTCGACATGTTCGCCGATGGCGGCGGCACAGGCCCGGAGGATTCTTGGGCTGGTCTTTGAGATCGAGCATGCTGCCGGCAAAGTCACTACCCCGGCCGAGCTCGGCGCTCTGAGCGCAAAGAGACTGTGGCCTTTTTCGAAGGGCCCAGCTATTCGAGAGGTGTCCGGCCAACCCCCGGAGCTGAATAAGGGACCTGGCGGTAAGGAGAAGCTTCAGTACTGTGCGGGTTTCTTCGATGGATTGGGACACGTCTTCGAAGATGGACCTAGCTACCGGCTGGAGCTCACGCTTCCCTGGGAGCAGCGCGAGGCAAGCTTGGCTATACCGCTATATCAATAAGATCGAAGCTGTTGCACCTGCGGCTGTCACGAATGTCACGAAGACCGAAAACCCCGATCCCTTCCCCAACATCTCCACACGGTCAGCTTCACAAGAAAACCGGAGGCGCTACGGCTCTTCCAACAGCTGTTCGGCGGCACGGGGCCCGGCCTGAAAAAGCGTCTGACAGGAACCCATCTCTTCGTGTATAGTTGTCTCCTCCCATGTCGAGTCGCCTAGGCAGCATCGTGCCCAGCGAAGCTGTTGGGGCCAGGCGCTTGCTGGAGCTCAGAGCTCGCCGCGCCGGGAATTTGAAGTGGGCCGTACGGGGAGAGCCGGGCCGGCACGCCGCCTTCGCGCTAGCGGCCCAGGCAGTTCTCAAGCAGCACCTCGTCGGTAACACAAGAACTTAGAACATATTGGGCCTTCCCACTAGAGTATCTTATAAGCCACGAGGCCGCAGCTGCTGCTGGCAGCCCATTGGCCTTTGTTCACCTCGTCTCCACGGGCTGCCTTGGAGGGCTGCAAGTGGATGGGCCCTTTCTCCCGGGCCGAGATCACCTGGGCCTACGTGGCAGGACTCTTCGACGCCGTGGGCCACATCAGAGACTCGGGCTCCAACCGCCAAGTCTTCTTGGAGTTCAGGCAAAAGTCCTTTCGATTCTTAGAAAGCCTGCAAGGCTTTCTGAAGGCTCAGCTCTCGTCGGAGTTTGTCTCGGTAAGGCATTTCCACCGCCTCAGCCGTCTTTCTGTGGTCGATGCCACACTTGCCCAGACAATGCTGCGGCAGCTGCTGCGAGTTGGCTTGACACTTGGCAGAGCGGCAGACTCCCTGGCCCCTGCCTGCCCTGCCTGACTTTTCATGCGCCCTTCCTTCGGACGTCCCCAATCTCAGGATCTTGCGGAAGGAGGCGGCGCAGCTCGCCCTCTCTCCGCTCCTTCCGATTCCGAAGCTTCCCCTCCGGCTTCTGGCCGCACGGCGAAGCTTTGTGGATGACTGCGGCGGACGTCGAAGACTCGCTCCTTTGAGTCAGAGCTTCGAGAAGCACCAGGAGGCCTTCGGCCGGCAAAGCGACGCGGCAGATGCTCGCCATGCCATGCAGCTACTCCGAGTGGCGAAAGCGTCCATGAGCCGTGAAAGATCCGAGACGAGGCAGGAAGAGCGATGTACTGTAGCTATCACCTCGCTATTAAGTATTTCTCACGCCTGACATCGCGAAAGCCGCAACCATGCCGCCCACTCCCAAAAACAAGTATACATCATCATCATCATCATCATTCTCATTATCATCATCATCACCACCGACATCATCGTCGCCTTCGTCGTGATATCACAAGCCCCTAGCCCTAGCCCTAACACCCGACCCAAAGGCTGAACAAAGTCCGAAGCGTGAAGACCGTGAACAGCAAAGCGTAAACGTCCCCAAAGTCCGACACTTTCAAGAAATTTGCATGCTGTGCCTGTCAGGATCACTGCAACTCTGAGACATGGAGTTTGCATTTAGCCACTGACACTGAGGCCCTGTGACTTGCCTTCCACCTTTGTCCATGTCTTGGTAGAAGTGGGAAACTCAACAGGACCAATGACAGACACTGCCCCTCTTGGAGTCGAAGGCCTTGGGAAAAGGTCATGCGAGCGTGCCTCTGTCTCAAGCTGTGCTGTGACAGTGCTGTGCTGGCATGCAGCAGCAGATGCATATCGTTGCAGTCTCGCATTCGCAGACCGCTGTTGAGCCCGCTGCGGTGGGGGACGAAGCATCCGAGAGGCGAGGGGCGACCTCAGTCGTGGTCGGCATGGGTGTTCGGCCCTGCACAGCCACTGTTTAGTGTAGTCTATCCTATAGCATCCTGGGCTCAAGGCAGTTAGGTCAGGGAAGGTTTCTTCTTCGGTTCGCAATGACGCTCCGTGCTCTCGGCGCCCTTCTGCTGGTGGGGATGCCCCTGGCGAAAGGCTTGACCTTCTCGCACATCCAGGGCGGTGACACCGCCACGTGGGAGCTCCACCTGCATGGCAGTGAACTGCATGTTAAGGCAGATTGCCCGGCCAACCGGTGGTGCAGCCTTGGCTTCAACAAGGACAAACCCAAGATGGATGGCATAGATGTCTTCACTTTCGGCCACCATCCTGGCGTAGACCTCTCGGACTGCCACAAGACCTGTGGCTGTGGCAGCACCGCCTGTGGCAGCGGCTGCGGCTGCGGCTGCGGCTGCGGCACATCTTGTGGTTGTGGCGGTTGTGGCTGTGGCACATCCTCTGCCACCTGCGGTCGCAGGCTCCGGAGCAACAAAGCCTCCCCAACGACTCCATCCCCGTTCCTTCCCTATGAGCGCGAGCTGAAGGTCTGGTTGCCGGCTCCCCCAACACTGCGTGCAGTCGGCGCGCCCCAGAGCCCGAAGGCCTTGGGCGGTGTGGTGGGCATTGCTTTGAACTCTGTGCTCTTCGTCCACGAGCACCCCGGCGAGGGCATGACTTGGGTTATCGACAACTGCGGCGGTCACGGCGACACTTTCGGGCACTACCACTACCATGCTCCTCCCATTTGTCTCCTTCGTTCTCTAGGCGTCCCGGTCCCGGAGGCTGCGTGGTGGAAAGCGGGCGGAGCGGAGCAGTGGGCATCTCATGGCCCAGAAGTGCAGATCGGCTGGGCCCTGGACGGCGCGCCCATCATGGCCCCTTTCAAGGCCGGCGTGCAGGTGAAGAAGGAGCAGCGTCACAAAGCATAAACGGGCCATCTTGCCACGTCAGACCCTTGCTTGGCTGTCCATGTCCTGTGTTTGAGTTGAAGCTTATGACCGGAAGGAGATGCTGGACGAATGTCACGGTGCCGTCGACAATGTCACCGGAGAGTATAAGTACTACACGGCCCCTGGCTCAGAGTGCAGCTCAATCCCATTCAACTCTTCATGACAAGTCGCCGAGGTCTTGGCCCCTCCTTTCATGCCACCTTGCCTTCGTGGCAAAGTTCTGGGCGAGGTGAAAGGCTACCGCAGCTCCAAGGGAGGAGTGCCCTGCGAACAGTCCCAGCGCCTGCCGCTCGCTTGCACAGTGACAGAGGAGAGCGCCAG